CAGTCTGGCTGGGGATTCTACCTGCTTTGTGAAGCTGGATTTACCTACAGGAGATTATTCAGGGGCATCCTTCTTCTCTCACCACGTTCCTGCCCCGCACAGATGAGGTGGCGCCAGCCAAGTGCTGTCTGAGCACTCAGCAGCACAGTCCTACCTTGCCTTCTGCCCTTATGAGCTAGAAGCCCTTGTGGGTTTAGAGGATTGGCCATCAGTTTTTTATCACACGGCCATGCTGGGGGAGAGTGGGGGAGCATGCTTGGGGCTGGAGGTGGTGCGCTGCAGGCTGGGGATAGTGGGTGTGTGGAAAGGGAGGGACTGAGAATGGAGACTACAGATACAGGGCTGCTTGCTGGCAAGGACAGGCTAATGGATGTTGGACAGTCCAGTTATGGTGCAGGGGGCAATGAACTTGAGAGCAGGTTCTGCCCCCCTCCCTGGTGCTACCCCCAGCTGCACCCATTCTGTCCAGGCGAGGACCCTGGTGGGGTGCTGGAGGAGGACTAGGTGCAGGCCAGGAGGTGGCTACAGCTCTGCCCCGGGGGCGGGGGGCGCATGTATAAACTCTCTCTGGTATTGTTTTCAGAGGAAGTGCTCAGTGTAAATAGAGCATGTGGGAGAGTTTGTCCTGGGCAGAGATGAAAAGTCCCTATGACAGGCCCGGGTTATAAACGGCTTCCTCAGATTGATGTGAAATCAAAACATTTCTGTTTGGGAGAAGAAAATGCAGGGGGATGTTTATTTAGCCCAGAATCTTTAAACAGTGCAGTGGTGGCAGAGGGTGATGCTGGGTGGGGGGTTGAATTTGGGGGAGGGAGGGGAGACTGCTCTACTCCCAGAGGTCCCCCCCACTCCTTGTGCAGAAGAGACTTGAGGATCCTTTGCTCAGCAGCTCAATTCCGCCCCCTTTGCTGGATTGAAGGGAATGCAGGGGCTCTGGCACCCAGCGGGTTGGAGTATCCCTTTGTGGGTAATGATGACTAAGGAAGTGCACTTTCCGGTTCCTAGAAAAGAGGTCTGGGTGGCAGGGAAGGCAGCAAAGACACTCATGCAGAGCTCTTAAGCCAAGACTGGCACAGAGAGGTAAAGTACTTTGCCCAGGCCAACAAAGTGAGTCATTGACAAAGTTGGCAATAGTACTCACGAGTCCTGATCCTCCCTGTCCTCTTCTAGGCCAAATCCTGTGCCAAGTCCTGGTGCCCAGGCTCCTGCTCTGGCTGCCAGATGCCATGTGGACTCAGACGGTGCACCAGCAACATTCATACTGAACAGTGCCCCCCTTGGCAAGATGCTGGTGGGGCCTTTTCCAAACCCCCTTTTTTTGGTCAGACGCTAGATTGGGGAAAGCTCTGTTTTGACTTGAACAATTCTGGGAAAATGTCCTAGTTTTGAAAGGAGATTCCTGAACCGTGTGTGTGAGCCCTCAGCTTGTCCCAACCAAAGCAGGGGTTAAAGGAGTTAGTCTGAATGAACTATTTGGAAAATATTGAAACAACTGGTGTTCATTGCCCTGATCCCAAGTCGATGGGAGCTGCTGCCTCAAGGAAGGAGCCTGTGCTTGGAGCCAGCCCAACCAAGGGAATCCAGGTTGCTGTTGGCCCCAGCCCTCTTCCCTGGCTTTGGCTCTTCACTTGAGTCCCACTTCACACCTGTCCTCATACTTCCTATCCCCTTAGGTGTTTGCTGCCTCCACTTATCTCTCCATTTAGCTGATCTCACACCTCACTGAGCCCCACTCCAGCCAGCATTGACTGGGTAGTTGCAGTCATTTGGCCAGTCTCTCCTCTGCTGTGGTTCCCTGCAGTTCTCTCATTGAGTTAGGCAATGGCCTCTGATGCAGGGACTCTCTTATAGTGTGTATATCCAGCACCCAACACAGTAGGGCCCTGATTACAGTCAATCTTTGAGACTCTTGTAATAATTAGTAGAATTTGGAACATGCCAAAGGCGCAGGACAAGGAGACAGAGTGGAGACATGACAGTAGGGGTGGGCTGGGACAGGAGCCAGTGGGGCTGGGGCACAGAAGCTGTGCGGGTTGACAGGGGCAGAGGCACGGTGGACAAGGGGAAGAGGCAAGTCGCAAGCTCCCTGGAGCTGCAGCATGCGCAGCAAGTGCAGCCTCAGGAACGTCTGCTCCTCTCTTCCTTTGAATAAATATTTATATATTCATTTGCTGTCTGGTGTGTGCACTTAGCTGTGCACCTCCCAGCCAGAAGGATGGGACCTGCCTTCACTGAAGGAAGGGGGAAGCTGGCTGCAAAGCGGGCAAAAGCTCCTTCCCCCTCAGCCCCGGGGTTTAGAGCTGAAGCCAAGCTGCCATCCTCCTCCCTTATGCTGTGCGCTTTTCTGATCTCCTTAGCTAAGTGGGGTTGAGCTTCATGAAAGGGGCCTGCCACAAGTGTGTTGGTGACTCAGAGCTGACCTGCTGCCCCAGCCCAGTGCCGGGATACGCCATGCTGCAGGAGGTGCTCTCCTTACCACCTGCAGTCAGCAAAGCTTTTCTGGCCACTTTCCCAAGCGTATGGGTGTAGCTAAGGTGTCCTGGCCTGGGTCCAGCTGGAGCCAGGAACAGTTCCTGCTGCCTCTGTAGCTTCCCTCTGTGGTTCCAGTGGTGCATGGGGTCTGTCTCCACTTTCTGTACTAAGCACGGGGGAAGGGGAGTAAGCATACAGGTGCTTTTGCATCCCTGGATGTTTCTTGGCTGAGGTTGGCCCTTATTTGCTTGTGTTTGCACACATGTATGACAAAGAAAGTGAAGGAGTACAGGGTGTGAGCGTGCAGTGGGTATATGCAGGGGAGTGTAGAAAGAGGGTGCACATGTCATGGTATAGATGTTTGTATGTGCATGTCACCTTTTGTGTCTTGGGAAATAACACCCGCATTTTTCTGCACGTGCCTCTGGTTGTGTATATTCGTACACTGCATGCGCATGCGTGTGTATAGGATGAGGTACATTTTAAAAACATCCATGCGTACTTGTGGGTGCTACGTGTGTTGCATGTGTGTGAGTGCAGAAAGGTGTGCGTGTTGTGTGCAAGAGTGCCCAAGGGGTGTGCATCGGTGCCTCCCTGATGTGAGGGGGTTGACAGGTTTGTTGGGGGTTTATTATACTTACAGCTTTGACAGGAAAGTGTGTCTGAAGCTGTCAGAAGTTTACGCTAAGCAGCCGCTCTCTGGCTCTCGGACAGCAAGTCTAAAGTTTCAGTCTGTTTGTATTGGGCTGTCATGTTATGGGATTAGGGACTGTCACAATGGCTTCTGGATGCATTGTAGGGGGTCTGATTAATATAATTTTACTCCTGTGTAGCAGGACCTTCAGGGTTGGAGATGGAGAGGTGTTGGGTGAACCTCAGTGAGAGGCATTTGGGCACTCAAAGCACCCATTCCCATCATTTGAGGCACGCAAGGGATGGGTTCCCTCTGCCCTTCCCCTCTGGGCCCCTCTTTCAGCAGGATGTGACATCAAAGAGCACATTGTCCTGGGGTCCCTGGCAAGGTGCAGGCTCTTTGTCTGCAGGGAGCCCCTGACTTGTGTATGTAGAGGCCTTTCCTAGACCACATGTGGCCTCGAGGAGCAGCATGTGCTTGCTCCCAAGGGAGCTAGGGTGCTTGTGATAATGCCAGACAAAGATGCTGCGGTCAGAGAGAAAAAAGTGATCGGGGACAGAGGAAGGATGCAGCGGGATGAGAAAGAGTGAGTGAGGGAGGATAAAGAGCGTCAGAGGGAAAATAGGGTAGATAAAGGCCATGTCAGGGGTCTGGGACAGTGAGAACACAGCCCCTAGGGTGGAGAGGATGAGGGCAGGCATGGCAGTGCCTGGTTTTGAGGCAGTGCCAGTGACCCCATCCTTAGAGATAGTTAACGGCAGAGGCAGAAGGAGTGCTCCCTGTGTCGAGAGTGTTAACCCGTGCTTGGCCTGGATGCCATCAGAAAACAACAAAAAAAAGCAATAACAACAATGCCATCCTTAACTTTCACTTCACGCAATTCTCTGCTTTTAATTGGGATTAAATCTTGTTAATAGTCAGTACAATAATTATGCAAGTAACTCTGTAGTGGGGACCGATCAGTTCAAGACATTCTCTGACCTTGAAGTTAAGATCTTTCCTTCCTTCCTTCCTTTCATCCTTCCCCTCTCTTTCTCTCCCTGCCCCCCCACAGTAGCTGTGACATATGAATAAACTACATTAAAATAACAAACCCAGACTAATTAGCTGATTGTGCTGGGAAGTGTGAGAACAGAGTTTCCTGTGAGTGTGCGAGAGAGGGCATTACTGACTGGTGCTAACCCAGCACCACCTCCCCCACCCCCTTCTTAGTATGGCACTCAAGCAAACCCACTCCCCAAGGCTCCTGCTCTCCCCCTTTGCCTCAGCACCTGAGTAAATCCCAGTGAGGGAGTCGCTTGCATTCCCTGGGTTAAGAATTAGGAGTCTTATCTTTCTGATAGACACTTAAGGCCTCATTCATGCCAGGGTACCTCTGTTGGCTTCGGTGCAATGGCAACTCCTGCCGTCTTGGCTGACATGGGGACAGCAGGTTCTGCTGCCACTAGAGCCAAATCGCTGAGGCTCCTGCAGCAGGGCCTGTGACACACCAACATTATGCAGAGGGGCAGATAGCCATGGCGGTCTGCAATCTCTGCTTTAGTTAGTCTGTGAAATGTATTACACACTGACACCAGCAGTGCTTGGGACATTCAGGACCTCACATAAGCAGGTGCCTCTCCACTTAAGTTGCTGGTGTTGTGCCCACTCGCGCCAGGCCTCTATTCACCAATTTAGACAGGCTTCACTGCGTGGTGTTGCTGAAATACCGTGGGTGCACTCTGCCTGACATGCCTCAGTCCCAGCTCCTCACAGTGCTGGGAGTGAAGGCAGGTCCTTGCTTCAGAAGGCAGCGCTGGCATGTAGGGGTCGGGAGTCTGGTGTTTGCAAATGGGGGGCATCTTTGAGCCCTCTCACATTCATTGTTTCTCCCTTTTTGTCTCTCCCATTCCAGCTGAAAGAACTATATGCACTGACGCAACCTCAGGAAAACCCACGATGGCTGCCAAGCGCAAAGGCGGCCTGAAGCTGAACGCAATCTGTGCCAAGCTCAGCCGCCAGGTGGTCTTTGATCACGGGGGAGCTGAGCAGGCGCAGGCGGACAAGGGTGCCCAACGCGAGAGCAGCAAAAAGGAAGCCCCCCAGCCTGGAACCAAGGAGGTGGAGGCTGAGTTCTCGGATGGACTCAGCCGTGTGCGGAAGATTGAGGAGGACAAGAGGAGGGAGGTGATTGAGAAGTGGGTGAATGGGGAGTACAGTGACGAACTTTTGCTGGGCCGAGTGGAGGGCAAGGAGGGTAAAGGCACTGAGAGTGTGGAGATGCCCCCCGAAGGCGTCTACATGGTCCAGCCTAAGGGCTGCAGTGATGAGGAAGATAACGGGGATGAGGCAGATGCGCTGCGGGGCTCCCAGGATGGCAGCTTCCTAGACGACAGGGATTCGGACGGGCCTGCCTCGAAGGATGACAGTTACCGATCCTCCAGCGGCGAGACGGGCTCCAAGTTGCCTGGAGGAGCTGCCTCAGGTAAGGCATGGTCCCCGCACTCCCCGATCAGGCTGGATCCTACCCCATGGACTCCTTTACGCAACTTTCACCTTTTCCAGAGGTCTCAGAGCCCATCCTGCCCATGTGCCAGTGCCACCAACAGACTTACCCATGCATTCACACCCTCTCAACTCTGCACGCTCAGCAGTATGTGGCAGCCAGGCCCATGTGAATGCACGAGTGCTCCTGCACGCCCACATGCTGTCTTACACAACGGGGATTAGTCCCAGGAGCAGTCAGCTGTGGTATTTGAGAGCTGGGAGGGAAGATGGGAACCCCGCTGGCATTTTGGGGAGCTGGGTGCATAGCTCAGTGATTCTGTACTGCAATAACACCCAGCCAGTTCTGTCAGTGAGGGTGCAATAAGGGCTCTCAGATCAGGGCCAGAGAGGGGAGGGCTTCTTCTGTCTCCTCTGCCAGGGCTGGTGCCCAGCAATAGAGCCCAAGGCACTGGATTGAGGGCACAGGAAGGTCCAGGGAATGGGAGTTGAAGTTACTATAGGATAGGATGGGAAGCAGAGGAGGAGCCAAGGGTGATGCCTGAATGAGGCGGGAAGAGAACAGGTCTAGGATTACTCTGGGGAAGGCTTTTCACTGAGTAAAGCAGGATCATCAGGGGAAAGAAAGGCCCTGGAAATACGGCTAGTGAGACCAGAAGCCTGGAGGATAAGGAGAGCTCAAACACGTGTGTGTATGAGAGAGAAAGAGAGAACTGGCTGTGTCTGGATTTGTGGGTGAAGGCTGCAGGTATTTTTAAGTGCACACATGTAAGCAGCATGTGAACTCATGCCAGGGCCATGTCTGCTGTGTGTGTTTGCATGCACATGTGCACAGATCAGAGGTGGAAGGTGGCTGTCCTGGGTGTAACTCCCAAGCTATTGTTGTTTGTTCTGGTTACCTAAGCTGAGCCAGGTGAATGCAAGAGCCGCGGAGTGGGCAGATTAGCCGGGAGATTGGTGTGCGTGGGAGAGGGCTCCCTGCCTTCCCCTCCAGAGGAGCAGCGCTGCCATTGGCAGGGTGACAAACACCAGCAGCATCTACTGGGATGCCACAGCCCTTCACTGCTTTGTTCCCATCAGCAAACAAGCCCGATTTGTCCTGCCAACACAAACGCTCTCCTTCCTTTCACATGCGTGCATTCTCCCCTTCTTTCATTCATTCCTGTGATCTCTTTATTACTGTGAACATCCCTTTGACGTCTGTTACGCCCATGTGCATAACAGAGGCGTGACACACCACACAGCCAAATTCTCCCCTCACATTTTCATGGTTACCCCTGCTCAAGAATCAAGGGGATGCTCCCCAGCGTGGCTGGCTGTCCCCTCTGGGAGATGCTCTGTCCTGTGTCATTACAGCCACCCATTCAGGGAACCACCTTGTGACTCAGAGCATTGGTGAATCCTAGAGCCTGAGGCCCCCTGCACTCTTTTTTTTCTGCCCCAGCTTCTCTCACACCAGTATCTGGATGACAGTTTGGACATAACTCCTCTGAAGGGGTTTCCCCCAGAGGCTTGATGTATTTGTTGTTTGTGGTTATCTCCTGACATCAAGGAGTGCCCCCCTTGTCAGGCTCGACCCAGTTTGAATTCAGCCAGAGGCTCTGGTGGGTGTGGGTGAGCGTTGGGGGAAAAATGCGTTCCTTGTTCACCCCAGAAACACTGGTCTCTCCAGATCAACATCACAAGCCCTTTAAGCACAAAGTGTGGACAGTAACTCAATTCCCTGCGTACCACAGTGTCTAGACCTCCCCACAATGTCTACATCTGTCACCTACTTGGATTGAATCTCTTGATGGAAAGGTCTCTTCACCCCACCCCCTCCGATCTCAGCACTTGGCAAATCCATCAAACTTTCCCTCTTTTGTGCGTGCCTGTGCTTTCCTCCTCCTGTTAATAATGCAGCCGAAACTCATCTCCGTCTGTCCGTTCCCCTTCTGGAGAGGCATATTCTCCAGTCTTCACGAGTTCAGTGGCAGCGCACATAATTATGCATATAAGATATAAACAGAGCTGTTTAATTATCCTTCGCCACATCAGTGACAGAGTAATTAACAAACATTGCAAGATCAATGAGGAAAAGTGTGACCTTCAGTTTCCTTTGATAGGAAAGCCCTTGTCGTTCCCAGACACAAGGTGATTGCGCCTGGACTCCGTTTGCAGTTTGTTTAAATTCCCCTCCTCCCCCCCACACACCACTTGCAGTTTTGGATGTGGAGAAAAGCAAAAAAGGATTGGAAGGGGGAACCTGATGTAGAAATATGTGGCCAACCGGGGAATGGAAGGGATCCTGTGTCCCCTCTTCAGAACCGAGCTTCTGGCTTCATGTCATTTCATGGCCACATTGTCAAAAATTCATACCTAATTATTGGAGCAAGTGGGCACAAGGGCATGTGAGACAGGCAAGAGCATGTATGGTGCCCAGATCACATGGGCTGCCTTAAGGGTTGCATGCGCAAGCAGCTGCACTGGTACAGGGCTTGGGTTTTCTTGCCTCCAGAAGGGCTTAGTGCTGCTTTCCCTCCCCTCTTGTCTTCAGCTCTCTCCTCCGTAGATCCTGACTTTGTCCCCAGTAGGCATCATTGGACCCGGTGTAACAGGGTGTGTAGACCTTTGGCTCAGCTGGACCTGCACTTCTGTACACCAGGGAGGAGTCTGGTATGACGGTTTCAGAAAAGCCTGGGTGGGCTGGCAAGCTGAGCAGAGGGCCAGGGGCAGGAGAATAGCTACAGGGCTTTGCCAAGTCACCCAGCCAGTGTGGCCTAAGGGGAATCATCTACAGACCTGATTTTTAAGGTGCCAAGGGTCTGTTGTTCTCCTTGGAGGCGGTAGGAGCTGCAGGTACTCAATACCATTGGTGGTCACTGGTCAAGCTCCTTGTCCAGCTGGAAATTCAAGTAAAAAGCAAGAGCCTGACTAAAAGGCAGACGCTGCCTCTAGATTGATCTGCCCCAAGGGAATCAGTGACCCCCAGTCATAGATTTCCTAGACCAGGACAGGCCATTCACATCACCTGTTTCACCCTCTGCTCCTTCCTCCATCATTCGCTTCCTCAGCTGATGCCTCTAGCAGGTTGACCCTGCATCTGCCACGTTGGTACCCTGACCCCTTGGGGGATTGCAGACCTGTTCTTGTGAATGGGACATGGGGGGAACTCACTGGAGACTGGGCAGTGCATCAGCATTCAGGGCTGGCTTTGCAATGCTCCACCCTCAGAAACGAGCTGCAGCTCATCCGAGGGGCAGGCTTGTTCTCTGCTTTGGCCACTCTGCAGGGACAGGGGACTAATGAGAGCTGCCCTGGCCGATTCGGCCTCTGGATGTACCTCCTGCATCTGCCCCTCCGTTGCAGACAGGGAACATGTGCGGGATGTGCAGAGCTGATGTTTTCAGGAGACGAGTGACAGAGCCCGTCACAGATACCCTGCCTCACTCACTCTTGCACGCTGACTAGCTCACTCTCCCACCCCACACTTCTCCCCTCACCCATGCAGCCCCTCCACACTGTCTCATAGGCCTACACGTGCATGTCCCTGGGCTGCCCCGCACTGCCCTTTCTCCCTCGCACACAGTAACTCACAGAGCAGGAGGGCAGTGGGAATCTCCAAGAGGTTTGTCCTCTCTTGAGCTTCCAAAGTTTCCAGTTTGTATAGATTGTTATTCCTAAGTAAGCCAAGCCTGTGGGAAGGGGAGTGCCTGTTTCTTGGCCCACTCATGGGCTTCTCCTTCCCTGATTTCCCAGGAGCCTTCCACACTAGGAAATGCTTGCAAGTTGCCAGAGCCAGTTTCTGGGTTTTTACTCGAAACCCGGCAATCTGCCGTGTTTTCCTGTGCTGCCCAGGCAAAAGGCCGAAGCCCCGTGCAGGCTGCCCCATCCCCCGGTGGCCAGAGCTCCGCTCCATTCGGGCTGTTTGGCTTTTCCTTCCATATATAGTGTGCTGCTCTGGGCTATTTTTAGCCCCCTCTTTTTTTTTTTTTTTTCCGTGCTCACTCCGGATCCGTTGTGATACGATAGCTGCTCCGAGACGCGCAAATCTCTGCTCTTTGGCAATGCCCACAAATGGAGAGCCATGGCCAGGGGAGAGGGAGCTCTCCTTATCTTGCAGAGGGGAGGGAAGAATGCGCTGCAGGAGGAAGGGCACGGTGCGGGAGAGGGAGAGCCTGGGGACAAGGCTGCCCCGCACACACGTGGGCCTGGAAGGAGCACGGCTCAGTGGTGCTGCCCTCTGCAAGGAATCATTTCCCACCTGCTGCCCCGTGTGTTGTACCAGGCTGTGGAGGGGTGAGGCAGGCAGCCCCAAAGGCTGGGATCAAGAGAGGGGAAGCTTTGACCTTTGCCTCTGGTTTGAATGAGGAGCTGCCAGCTCACAGCTGTTGAGTGGCTCACGTGAAACAAGGTGACTGGGTCTCGGCCCTTCTCCCAGTGGGACATGGGCCAAGCCACTGGTGCCACCACTGCAGCTGGCTCCTGCAGGCTTCCTTGTCAGCTGCCTGCAGAGACACCGAGGGTAACTGGCATGCGGGGTGAATGCTCTCGGTCTGGAGGAGATGCTGGTAGCCCAGGAGGAGGGGCATTGGCTGGGCAGCGTGTAGGGGAGCCAGCCTTGGCTGGCCTCTGGGAGGTCTGGTCTTCCCCACAGCTTTGGGGAGCACTTAGCTGTGCTTGCATGATCATCCAGAACTGACCTAAAGGAGAATCGGGGTGGAGGTCATAGGTGATCGTGAGAGAGAACAGCCAGTTCAGCTGAAATAGGAGCAGGCTGCAGTGAGTGCTCCCTGGGACCCAAACTCCCCCTGGCTTCATCGAGGCTCAGAAGGGACCCCTCCCCCATCATCCTGTTCCTCCTCGGCCGCCCCCTGCACCAGCTGGGTCTCACCAGGGCAGGGGCCAAAGCATTTCCAAGCCTAGACTTGCGGATTTGAGAAGCTTAAAGAAACAGTCAGTCTCAGGGCTTCTCCTGACTCGGTAGTACGGAGAAGTCCCAGGTTTCCCAGGTCTCTCTTCCTTAAGGCTTTGTGTGGTTAATCTCAGCAGGGGCTGGATCAGCCTGGGATTTGCCAGGCTGGCTTGGGATGTGGGCTCAGCAGGGAGTCTCACAGCTTCTACTTGTTATCCTTGTGTTTCAGGCGGGGAACTGAGAGGCATGAGGTCCAGGAAGTGCAAAAAAGGTGGGATCATCTTTCCAGCTCCCCCTTCTTCCTGGGCTTGGGGCAAAGCTTGGGGTGGGCCTTCCTTAGCGCTCAGCCTCCTCTCCCACCTCCCACAACTCCTCTGGGATTCCTGGATGTGGGATGAGAACAGAAATGCTGTGGTGTGAACAAGTCTCCTTGTGAGCAGAGGAAATAATCTGCCAGCTCTACCTTCCAGGGTGGCCCTTAAAGCCAGTGATCACTTGCTAGTTTAATTTTCTTCCATATCCCCTTCATGGTGCTCTTTCCCCCTGGCTGTTTGGGTTGAGGGGGATGGGATTTCATTGTGCCAGGCCTAGAAGTTTGGGATGTGGGGTAACTAGGGATCATCTTACAGGTCCAAAGAGAGATGAAAAGCAGAAGAGGGGAGACAGGGTTAGCAGGACCATGGAAATCTTAGACACGGGGGATTTTATGGTATTAATCGCTTTTGTTGGGGCTATAGGGTTACGCTGGAATGGGGGTGGGGAAAGGGAAAGGCATCAAAAGGACAAAAAGCTTGAAAAAAAGAGGAAGCACTTTAATGCCTGGGTGTGCGAAAGTGAAAGGCAATCCCTCTGGTATCCCCAGGCAGTGACGGCCCTGGGAGGGGGTGCTAATGAGCCCACTCTTCCCGGGAGGAGTCCTGGTTGTCAGATGTGGGCATCTGAGCAGGGTGCTGCTGGCTAGTGCCTGGGCATCCTTCTGCCAAAATCACTTCCCTGTTGCACAGCTAGCTGAGGAGTATCCTGTGAGCCCTGGTAGCTCTGCATCACCTTGCATCTGTAGGTGCAGGGTGTTGGTGCCCAGCTGAGGAAGGCTGTGCTGTCCTTTCCTGGATCCTGGCACCAGTGGCCTAGCCCTAGATCATCACTTCTAGTGCAGCAGATATGTTCTCCTACCTTTGCTGTCCTACACTGTCCCTTGTAGCATAGGCCAGCAGCACAGCAGGGTTTATGCCCCACACACCTGGCTACATTAGGCATCGGTGGTACTGGGATATGACCCTTGCGTGTCCTGCAGGAATTTTTGGAGCCCACCACAGGGCCCTATCTTTTCCAGGTATCTCTTCCCACCCATGCCCTTGCTGAAACAGGCTTCTGAGAGCTAGGTGAGCTCCTGAGCTAGGGCGCTTGTTGGTTGGGACCACTTTGCACAGGAGCATTCAGACGTGCGCGTGCATTTGTCTGTGCATGTGGTGCATACCCATGCACGTGTGCTTGTATGCATGGCATTGGTTGCTGTTAGAGCCCAGGGCCCCATTTTAACCCCTTGGGCTCCATAGCTGAGACAAGCCCCGAGCTCTCGTGCTGTCTTTCATGACGGCACTCCACCTCCGAGTGCCAGAGCCAGGGCAGCGGCCAGGAACCTCCTTCCTGCTGCCTCACACCTGCCCTCTCCAGCAGTCGCCCTCCCTGTGAGAGATGGTGCCCACCCACGAGAGCCCGAGTGAGTGATTGGGAAAGATGACAAGGGAGGTTTGAAGGACTCCTGCGTACAGTAAATCTTTACTCTGCCGGAGAAAGCGAGAAGGAGAGGAGGAGGAGGAGGAGGAACGCTGTGTCAGACTGAAGCCTAAATGAGTCTGAGTTGGCACGTCAGTCAGAGTAATCTTTATTTCCTCCTTTACACTGATATTGGGTGACCTCCAGAGCACTGTTCTTCCCCTCCCAGTGACCAGCAAAAGTGCCAGTGGGAGGGAGCGGGGAGGGAGAGACCATGGGAGAACAGCCCTCCCCCCACAGCCCCGACCTCAGGGTTAACAGCCCCCACCCTGAGGAAGCAGCTCTTCTCCCCCTGGCCATGAGAAGAACAGCTTGCCTCCTCTCCATGGGCCCCTTGCCCAGCAGCCTGCTCCCTTGGGCAGGGCTGTGGATGCTCCCAGCTGGACTCTGCCACCTTTTGTGCACTGTTAGCACCTAGGGCAGTGGCACTAGGGCTCCTGCACAGCCCGACCCCAGGAGAAGATGCTTTGGGAGCCACTTAGATGTAGGAGATGTTAGAAAAGCAGTGGTGTGGGCGGGACCGGGACGGCCATAGGGATTCCTTGCTGCCCCTCCCCACCCCCAACACCCACACAGCAGTCTCTGCTCCTGCCAGCTCCTCGACCTCCTGCCTCACCTTCACTTGTCCCTATGCCTACTCGTTTATCCCCCTTCCCCTCCTCATTTCCACATCCTGCCTCTGTCCTGTCACATCTCCTACCCCAGCCTGCCCCCAACAGCCCATGCCTCTGCCTTGCTCCCTGCCCTCCCCCACCACCGCCAGCCCTGCTGCCCTCAAGCCCTGCCCACCACACACACGCTCCTCCCCTCTGACTTATTCCCTTC